TTTTTTTTTTTTTTTTTTTTTTTTTATAATTTACGTTTTTACCGTTACTCAGAACAGCACGATTTGTGATTGTATATTCTTTCTCATGTTTGTAAGTGAGTAACCCATGTTACGAATGCTTCATTCAATTCTTGTGTTGGTGCTGCAAGCTTTGGAGGGCGTAAACAATGACTTCAATACCCTGTAAGATCATATGGATAAAGAGGTAGCAGTGCCCTTATGGAGATTGGAAATATTACTAATTAACATATGAAGGAGATACTGATGAAACATCCCAACTGGCTAAAGCATGTGATTATTCAGATTATCACTGCTTATAGGATTTTTGTTCAGTTTTGCTATTTTAGCTGCCAGCTAATCTCAAGGATCTTCTTTCCATTTAAACTTCAAACCACAAAATGAAAAGTCAGTTTGCCTCTGTTCAATTACGGAGCGTTCAAGTGGTATTTTCTTCGCCGACGTTACCATCCCTTATGCTTCTATATATGTACAAGATGAGTATATTACCACACCATCCTCAGTTTTTTTTTTTTTTTTATCTTGTTTAAAATTTCAATATTCTAGGTTCCACTTAAGTGTATCACATGCAATTTAAATAAGTTTTTCAGCAAAAAAGACATTTTTTTTAATTTTCATTAAATTTCTTAAATCATAATAATATAATATTCTTATTGATGTATATATTGAATTTTAAGCTGACGAACTTGAAAAAGGTGCTTGCTAATTTATATATATATATTTAACTATTTTACAGCTTCATTATAAATAACAAAAAACCAAAACAAAGTTGCTAAAAAGCGGAAAGGTGATGCTTTGTAATATATCACGAGAACATGGAGAGAAATATGCTTGCAAAGAAAAACTACATAAGATTTAAAAAAAATTCTACTCCTATAATGACTGACTTTTCCGCCACATCTCATCCAAATATTCATAGTATGCATACCTCCATTGCCTACTAATCACAAGAGGACTTAAGACACTCCAAAATCCCAAAATAAACCCAAGTACCATGCTAACAAACAACCAATTAACTTTATCTCCATCTATATCTTTCCCACCATTATTTCCAATGCCTGGTATCCTTTGATTAACTTCGTTGCACTTCTCCATTAGTGGAAGGCCACAAAGTTCATTTCTAGCATAAGAAGATGCATCAAAGCTTTGTAATTGAGTACTTGAAGGAATTTTTCCAGTCAATTGGTTATCAGAAAGGTTCAAGTAGCTTAGAAATGACAGTCTAGACATGCTTTCAGGGATTGACCCACGCAATTTGTTTACTGAAAGATCAAGAGATTCTAGTGAACACATGTTACCAATATTTGGAGGGATCCTTTTAGTGAGAAGGTTATGTGACAAATTTAGTGATTGTAACCCTTGAAGCCCAGTTATTTCTGAAGGGATATCTCCCGATAAATGGTTATCTGACAAATCAAGAGCTCTTACCAAATAAAGAATCCGATCATATTCATAAAGGTGGCCTTTCATCACAAGAAACAAATTCTCAGTAAATTTTGATGAGATGTACGTAAAGGAGTAGTAGTTCCTAGGAAAGCCATTTACAGAATAAACCATGGCACTTAAGTTACCAATGCAACTTGGTAAGCTTCCTGAAAGCTTATTATGAGCAACATCCAAGACAAGGAGAAAACTGAGTGTGCACAACTCTCTAGGGATATGTCCTGAAAGCTTGTTTGAATGAAGGCTTAAGATTTTCAGGTGTGGAAGATTACGACCCATCCATGACGGGATGTTCCCAACCAATTCATTTTCACCAACATCAAGGGTTTCCAAAGTTGTACAATTCCTTATGGACATAGGAATTTTTCCTGAAAGGTTATTTTTACGAAGATGCAACGATTTAAGGAATTGTAAAGTTCCAACGGAGCTCGGAATTTTACCTGTAAATGTATTGTTTTCTAATACAATGACCTCTAAATATGGCCACTTGGACCAACAATTTGGTAACTCTCCAGAAAAAAAATTATTGCCAAGATTGAGAATAGACATTTGATTTGTGGTTTCATTGACCCCAATACACAAAAAGTTGAAAAGGGAACCTGAAAAAAGATTATGGGAAAGGTCGAAGATAGTAGTCAAATGGGAGACAATTGGAGATATTGGATCTTTGAAGCTATAAATACTTGGAAGTTGCCCATGAATTTGGTTTTGAGAGAGATTCAAATATCTTAAATGATGAGAAAAGTCCAAAAACCAACTAGGGAGATTATCTATTATTCCAGAGTTTGAGATATCTAAATAAATTAGGTGTGCTTGAGAAGAAAGCCAATGTGGAAATTGCGGTCCTAAATGCCAAGATCTTAATTCCAAGTCTTGCATTTGGAAAGGAGGAATCCAACCAGGATCAACCTTCAAACTCAATGGGTTCCCATTTGCAATCAAAACTAACAATTTTGTGAGGTTAAAAAAGTGTTTCTCAGAAAAAGTACCCTCCAAAAAATTATTTGATATATCAACAACTTCTAAATTGGAAAGTTGACCAATGACTCAGGAAGGTTTCCTTTGAATTTGTTTTGAAAGAGATATAAAATTTTCAAGGATGAAAGCTCTCCTATGGATTCTAGTATTGAACTAGAGATAGAGTTTTCAGACAAATCCAACTCTCTCAAAATTTTAAAGTTCCCTAATTGGTTGGTTAATTGTCCATAGAGCTGACAATCATCCAAGAACAATGACTCTAATTTATTAGAAACACATACAGAAAATACTTCTAAGACATTTGATATGTTTAGACTCAAATTAACACCAGAGAAAGAGAGTGACCTCAAGTTGCAAAGATTTCCTATTGATCTAATTGGGATTCGACCTTCAAAACTATTATAGGATAAATCAAGATCAACAATAAAGTTCATTTTGTCTATCTCAATTGAAATTTGACCTTTCAAATCATTATACCTAAGATTTAGAGACTCAAGAGGAGCAAAAGTGTACAACCAATTAGGTATTGAAGAATTGAAATAATTGCCTGACAAATCAAGGTGCTTTAACAAAGTCAAATTTCGAAGACCATAAGGGATTGAACCCTCAATATCATTATCACATAGATCAAGGGAAATCAGGTTTTTTAGACCAAAAACCCAATTGATCACTGACAAGTTTTGGAAATAATTCAGAGAAAGAGAAAGGGTAGCAAGAGATGATAAATTTACACTTGCAATGGGATTGACCTGATAGGGAAGTTGACAGTCTGACAAGTGTAATTCTACCAAAGAAGGAAGTGTATTTAATGCATGAAACCAATTGGAGGCTTGGATAAGGTTCACATAACTCAAATCAAGGTACTCCAATGAAGAAAGACTAGGCAACCAATGGAGATTCTCAACATACATGGTATGGTAATAATTATTCCCAAGGTTGAGATACTTCATATTAGAGAGATTCCCAAGATGGTGAGGAACCTCCCCTCCAAAATTTGCACCAGAAAGGTTAAGGTATTGTAAACTCTCCAAAGAACCAAAAAACTTGGGCATGTGAATTCCTCCAAAATCATTGTTGCTAAGATCCAAATAACTCAAATGCTTCAAATGGAGCAGAGAAGGACTTATCTTACCACCCAGCCTCGATCTCTCATAAGCCTCATCAGCCTCTTCATCGTACACATAGTAATCGACCTCCCATGGAGGAGTAGTTCTGAGGTGGAGTTCAATGACATGACCAGTCATGTTGTCGCAGACAATTCCCGTCCATCTACAACAATCTCCACCGGAAACCCAAGAGGCCAATCGGTTGGTGCGATCCACGATACCTTGCTTGAATTTCAAAAGGGGTTTTTTCTCACTCTCAATGCAGACAGCGTGAACAGAGTTGCCATTGCAAATGCTAATAATGGTAACATCAGTGATCAAAATGAGAAAGGCAAGCAAAAGAAAGATAAATCGAGCCATTGAATTCTAAATCGGAAAGCAATTAATTTCTATGGAAATCCAAGAGAGGCAATGTGGTATTTATACATGTCATTTCCCAGAAATTGCAATGCTATTTCCATACCCAATTAATATTGCAGTGCATAGACAAACAATAAAATGAATAATTATTATGTCCTCCTATTAGAGAAAAGAATAAGTGGTCCACGTGGATATCGTGATGGGCTCTCCACCATAGAAAATAAATGTGTGGTGTGGGACGGCTTCTACCAAATCATGATGGGCAGAAGGTGCAATTCAGCCCCTCTACTTAACTTGTTGTGGCCTGTCAGTCCATGTACTTAAAAGCAGTGCAAATCAGGCCCTGTACCACTTGAACTCCGCAAATAACCCCTCTTGCTAACTATGATCGTCAGGAAACACCGTCTTTCTATCAATCTCTCTGTTACCCTATTAACAAAGGATGAATGGGCAATGATATGGCGCTGACTTGGACCAAAAAGCCAGCTGGCATTGTTTTTTTCCTTTTCCCACATGAATAAATATTTAATATTAAAATATATAAAAGAAAAATGAAAACTAGAAATTCATCATCGGAGAAACTAATGCTCCGGCGATGGGCTAGAGGGTTGGGGGCGGTGGATGCCGAACCACCTTCACCATCTTGGCTATGGCTTTGATCACCAAACACCTCAAAGAAACACAATAATCGATAAATGAACACAT